CGATTTAAGAAGTTAGATTATGGTGCGATTTAGGAAACTAGAGCATTTTTTGAACTTTTATTTATTTTATCTATAAAAAAAATGTAAAGCAAACTTTAATCCTATTAATTTAATTTTAATAATATTCTAATCACGACGAATGGTCAAGACTTAGGCTATTTAATTTATATTTTCTGTAATTCTGCTATGAAATACGTTGAAAAATAGCAACGCTATCACGTTTTTTTTATTTATGTAAATAACAACGCTCTTGTTGCATTTTATGTCACGAGTATAACAGAGTAGCGTTACAGTATCATGTAAATCTTAAATAACCCGTAAGAAAGTATATAAATACAATAATTGAATTTTTAAGCGAGGTAGTGCGATTTAAGAGCCGGATTTCGGCAACTTTACTCTAATCCGACTGAGTTTTACTTACCTCAATTTTTTTAATTTAATAAATTTGTCAGCTAGAATTGTGTACATTTGAAAACCCAGAAAACAAAGAATTGTCACGTATATGCTTTAGTAGATTTTTTGTAGAAATAACTGATATGAAGAAGGGCACAGACATATACTAGATTACTTATAACATATTTATTTGTAATGTTTTATTAATATACTCCTTACCGTAGACATATATTTATATCGTATGGCAGCATATTATTATGATATTGTATAATATAGGTGAGGTGACTGACAGAACGATTCATTTTTTTTTCTCTTATTACTCTCCGCGGCCGAAGAACGACACACGCTTGTTCATTACTCCCTCGCTCATTCATATCTAAATTCACACACACGCACACATACGTACTCACATATTCAAACATACACCCGTATTCATCTACGTACACTGGGCTCTCCTAATTATTCCATTTATTCTGCTACAGTCTCTTTCGCACCTTCGTCTCGCATTTTCACGAATCGACAAAGCCGCCCGAACGTTCTTTCTCTCGTCACTTCCCGTGGCAGTCTCTCGACTGGTATCTCACGTTCGTCCCACACTTCGTCGATTCGTTTCGCGATTAACTCGCGTTCGAACTAATTAATTACGCCGCGCGCGTCACACGCGCATCGACCGCACGCGCGAACCTCTGCTAATTGCGATTATCGCTGGATCGTGCGATAATCGTGATAATTATTGTGATATATAGTCTCGTTATATTACTCGCTCGTAACATTATCTCATACTTATCTCGCCTAGTTAAAATATCAATATACATTATAATATACTCTAGTAACGATAATGCAACACGTCGTTAATTTATTATACTTTGCAACTTAGAAAAATAGTCCTGGCTAGCCGCGGCCGCGTCGCGTGCGCTCTCTCACGCGATCAATCCTTCAAAAGCGCTCGATATTGTTACATGCCTGTGTACATTCGACATATATACTACATATACATTTATCTATATATATATTTATATATTTTTCATCTTTCTAATCTTCAGGGCCTTTTGCAATCGCCCAGATCCATCTATGGGAAATATTCCAAGGGATTCTCTAATTGACTAAATACGTCGATCGAAATCGATCGCTCGTTTCTGGGATATAGAGGAAAATTCTCCTCCAGAGGTTATCTATGAATTCTATCGACCCCTCGATTTATTTCGCATAGATAATCGGCGCTCATTCTTTTTTTCAACAAACGCGCAGCTTCGTCAAAGAACTAATGTCTCTTTCACTATTTTATGTCGTCTTGTGTCACTCGTAAAATATAATTAACGTCGCGCGCGTACACGCATAACAAATTAAGAACGATATTATAAAGACATGATTTTTATGTTTCATTTAATCGATGTTTAATTTCCACTTTTTTTCCGTTTACGACCGGAAACGAATTTTGTCGATTTACACATAAATAACATTTTCATACCTCTTCTAATTTATTGGCATAATTATTTTTTATTTTACGAATGACGCATCCAGGAAAGTTATATGCTGAAATAATTTAATCAACAGAATTGTCAAATTTTCTAGTTGGTTTTTCTTCCGTTTTGTCGAATTTAAGAACATTTTTAATTCTGTCGATTGTCGATTATAATCAGGCGTGACCAGTTTTGATCTCAGCCGATCAAGCACCGGTCATGATCGAACAGAATTATTGACACATATTGCAGCGCGCGTTATGTTATTCATTAAGAATGTCGAGTTAATCATTCCCGCGATTAAATAGCGTATTTTGTGCTTGTTTCTCGATCGCGGATGACTCGACGCGGTCGCGATGCAATAAAATCTATGAAAACAATTAACGGAACAACGGTAGTATTACCCCTTTGAAGTTGTCATGCTTTACTATATCTACTGTTGATTCTTTTTCTTTTTTTTATATATATCTAATCGGCTAACGAATCGCTTGTTCGCGTATCGTTGACTCGCGCATCGGACTGACGCGAATCTAACACCGACTTAAGCGTCGCTTAATAGCGAAACTGGAGTCCTACGTATATCGTGTCGCACACGGTATACTCGACAAAGCTCACTCAGATTAACAATTGAGAACAAAACCAGTCATTTAAGCATTCGAGAATCGTGACGACATAATTTTCCCGATTGACGATTTTCTTCTCGCTACGAAATACAGCAATCGCTTCCGAATCGTCAAACTTAACAAACATAATAACGACGAAAAAAAATGAAACGTTTAATACGCTAAATTTTATCTAAAACGAAATCTGTATCTCAGCGCATTGCGCGAAAATTTACAAGATACTTAATAAATCTCGATTTTTTCATTAAAGTATTCGACCACAAGATAATCATCAACCTATCGTAGAAGAGTCTCTGAAGACATAATTTTCGTATTGTAAGAAATTCTCTTCGTTTCTTTGGTGTTAAAGTCTACTCGTATCCGCACACTGCGTTCTTGCACTTTCTTGAAATGCGTTCGGCCTTAACAACTTTCTCAATGGATATAAGTATATATAATATATCAGCTATCTTTTCATTAAAAATAAGCCTGGAGAGAAATGCGTCGAACTTAAAATGCGTTGAATTTAA